GCACTGTTGAAATTGTCGGTCTGCCGTATGCGTGGCGCTGCTCTAGCACTCGCCGCAAAGTGAAAATATGGTCTATACCGCCACCTCCTGGGCGGAAACCGACCTGCTCTTCCCTAATCAGAGATTCCCGTTCCGCAGTGAGGCGACGAAGGATAATCGAGGCCAATAATTTTGTCACAACTGTCGTTAGGCTAATACCCCTGTGGTTAGAACTGTCTGTGAGACTACCCAACTCGTATATTGCCACTATAATCGATTCACTCCAATTATCCGGGACACTCTCTTCCTTCCAGATACTTTCGAATAGGGAGGTCAGTGCATTTCAGAGGACCTCACCTCCATGCTCAAATATTGCAGGTGGGTGGGAATCTAGGCCAGCGGCAAGAAAGCGATTAACGGCTGTGATCGCCTTTCGGACTTCGGCCTCCGATGGAGACACTAAACTAACCGTCCATGGCTCGTCCTGCATCACCTGAGCAGGAAGAGGTCCGGGCGCAGGGGGCCAGCTGAACTGATCTTGAAAGTGTTCTGCCCAACGAGCCATACGGCGCTCTTTATTGTGTATCAGCGCACCCGTGCTGTCTCTCATTCTCTCACTGACGCCTGGTTTTCTGTGACCAGTGGTGCGGGTTACCTGGAAGAGCTTGCAGTAAATTCCTACCGCTCCTACCTCCTCCATTTCTTGAGCCCGACTGCTCTATCAGGCTTCCTTGTCAGCACCTAGGCTCTGCTTTAGTTCACGCCTAATAATCCGTCTGGTCACATTGTTTTCAGAGCCAGCCGGGAGGTATATTCTAGATCCCCATAGGTTCACTGACCTCTCGGATATCCAGTGACTGGTGCGGTGACGATGGCTAGTGCCACAAGCAGATGCTCCTGCATCGTGCATGGCGGGCGAGATCCTATTCCACTAAAGCGCAGTGTCATTGGGATAATACAGCGAAAGTTCGGTATGCAGTGCTTCTTGATAGGCTTGCCTGACCGGGAGCTGAGACAATTTCTCAGTTGCCAACCGGAGGGGACGCTTGGTGCGCCTCGCGGTAAAGTTCATGGAGAAACGACAGCGCACCATGACATGATCAGAGTCGGCGCAGGTATTCCAGTACGAGCGGCAATCCAGAATGGAACCGCGCCACCTGTAACTTATGGCTATGTGGTCAATTTGGGTCAATCGCTGGCCAGCTACAGCAGGACGCCAAGTGGCACTTCGGCGCCTACTGTGCCTAAAAGCAGTGCGACTAATAAACAACTGGTGCTCCGCAAGCAGTTGAAGCAGACGCTCGCCATTGTCAGTCCGTTCGGAGTTAAGACCATAATTACCACACAGCCGAGCTTCTGAAGAGCTCAGATGCCGTAATTGTACGTTCATATCCCCTGCAAGTACTATAATATCTGAACTAGTAACACTGCTTACTACCGCGTTAAATTCATGATAGAATGTGTCCCTGACAGCATTGGAACTGCAGTCGGTGGCAGCATAAACGGAAATAACAAAGAAACAGCGTTTTGTACTACTTCGTGAATCAAACTTGGCTGATGTCGTCAAACGGACTGCACATAAACGGCTGTTCACCGGAATCCAGTCAACCAACGAAGGCTCAGCCTTGGAGCTTATTATGACACCTACACCAGCTTGATCCATGAGTGATATATCGGCGTCTCCAGATGCGTGTAACCAATAACGAGAAGATAAGCCGGGTATAGTGAATTCACTAACCCCGTTAGTGTCCTTGATCCTAGTTTCGGACACACAACACACATCAATACCCAGTGTGTCCAAGGTGCGTGACAGTGCAGCATGTTTACCTGTTTGTCAGAGTGCGAACGTTGCGTGTCGCCATGGAAACCGGGTAGCGTGGCCTTATAAGGGACTTTTGCTAATAGGCGCCCGATAGGTGCTGTGGGATGATGGCTGCAGATAATTCTGCTCCAGTGGCACTTCGGTTGCTGTCAATTAAGCTGTGAATTGTAGAAGCAAGGTTAGTAGTGGACTTCGGGATGGGAGTAAGAAAAACAGGTGGAAAAGAAGGAAGGGACACACCAGCAATAGTATGTTTGCGCTTATCCGCCCTGCTGTATGCAGCAGATAAGGCGAGCCTTGATAATCTGCGCGACGGCCGATGCAGGATGATGTTTATGATAGTGTGCATCTACTAAGCTGTACGCAATTGCAAGGGGTGGTACATAAAATAACCAGCGTCGTGCAAAACACGGATAGGTTAAGCCCCTACTGATCATGGATCGCCTCGGGAGTCCGTAAGCAACAACTGCAACAGAACACCGCCGCACTAGGTACGAGATTGCGGCGCCGCCTATTCCTGATTTTCATCCACGATCTAGTGAACTTTCTTACCTCACAATCTATGTTGTATGCCGACAAGATCAAGGTTTGCCAGCCGATCAAACTCCAAAGACCTGAACAAGATATATGAATGGCCAGTCCACAATCGTCTACAGTTCATCGTGATCAAATGATTTAAGCGCACCAACAACAGCAATAAATGTTTCATGCCAGTAATCTGGGCGACCATGATCTGCAGCACTGTTCCCCGGAAAAAGATCACGGTGTACTATTCCAAGAAGACCGTAGTTGCACGGGAATATCTGCGCTAGCATCAAAAAAAGGATTCGAAAATTTGGTCTATTATAGAGAACTTTCGGTCACTGACCAATCTACTTTCACCACATATACGCCTGCAAGTGGAACATGCAATTCAATCGTCGTCTTAGAAATCTCCCAAAGTGAGGAAACGAAGACGAACAGCGACTGCGTATTTTTGGAGTCTTCAGTGGCCGCTATCTTCGTTTGCGTGGTGATCTCATCACGGTTAACCAAATTTTAAGTCACTCTAATCACTGGTGCTACCGTTTGCTAAAACGTATGAAGAAACTAAACTGAGAAGCTGCTGTCTCAGAAAGGCTTTGCCATACAGCTAACTAGATCGTAGACGGGATTTCTGCTCTGTACCTGTTTGCCACACTTAGATTTCACTATGTGAACCGGTTATTTCAGCCCCTACTTTGACTGTGTTGGAAGATCAGATCCACAATGCGCTAGCCGCGTTACACCAAAGACGTGTAAACCTACACCCCTTTCTCTGGAAAATTTAAAGCGGTGGTATTTGAAGTTGCCTAAAACTATATGTGGACAATTCATCAGACGTACAGAAGTTTGCTCTACAATTGCACCGTTTTCGGTTGTTCTGCGTTTATGGTTTTATTCGTTTTCCTTTGAAACCGCTGCTCCCCATCTTGTGGAACATATTAAGCTCAATCTATTTTATTCGCGAGAATCCAGTGCAGAATGAGTATACTCCTAATCCCACGATACCCGTGGGTATTAAGCCAATCCATTTTCCACACAACGCTGCAAGTACGCCAGCTGTTTCGGTGTGTGTTAGAATGAAGTGGAGAGTAATATACCTGATGGTCTATGCACGTATTTGAAATTAATATGCAAGACTTCAAACCAACATATTCGAGATACCCGTATTCAGCCATGAATTTGGCGAATATGTCATTCCACCCGGGGGCTGTTCTCTCTATTTTAAGCAGATTTGACCTGCGTGATTCGTATGGGACCAAATAGTTGAAATGTAGTTATTTTCCGCCCTACATGCAACTATAACTGAGGGATGCGACTAATATGAGATTTAATCGGGTTGAGCACATTATAGACATTCCGTTGTGTTGGATATCGTTCCGTTCCTCACGTTAATGACATTTAATATGACTTTAAGCGGTAGTGTGCACTGCGCGTCTAGGCTAGAGAGCCCGGTCGAAATAGCCTGAGATGCTATCAAAATGAGTTTACCGATCCGCTCTTTGCGGAAAAGCATTTCGGTACATTGTTCGTTCTAGCCATGCGTGTTCACGTGTCCTCTCGACTCAAACGGGTATCTTGGTTGCCCGCTCAAGCCCGCTTTGACTACATTCATAACGGGCTCGTTCAAGTCTGGCGGCGTGACTCCATGTTCCGGACATGATCAATGCTACTTCTGCGTTCGTCCGGAACTACGCTGACTCCACCCCACCTTCACATCTGAGGCTTTGGGGTTTGGATTCAGTTCGTGAACAAGCGTGTGTTTTCACCCTCCCCACCCCCATCCTTAGTGTCCAATGTGGGTGCGCACCTAGATGGGCGGATTGCTGAGGTCCGCGTAGCGAGGTGTCAACCTCGGACAACTTCCTTTCGAACACGCGTGTGTTTAGTACGTTGCGTGTGTCTACCTTAAGTGTTGCCAAATTTGCTACCCGCGCCCTACAAAGAGCGATGACTATATGCCACAACTGCCTTTTTGCTTAACAGCTATTCCAGCATATCGTCCGAAATGTTATTGGCTGATAGCACTTGGCCATTCAGGGCGTTGTGGATGCAAATTTCGTGACTAACGGATCACACCGTGCAACACGGTTTACATGACAGAAATAAGGTT